GCCACTGTTCCTTTCTAGGAGCATTCGTCCGTTTTTTGATTAGTCCCTTAATTTCACCCTTGAGGATACTCATGAACTTCATGCGCTCATCAAGAGTGACTAGGGATGATCCTGCCGCTTAGGAGGCATTAGTCGGCTGCCCCGAGGGCTTACTTGAGGGTACAGGGGGCCTGTTAGGACCCGCCTGGTTAGCATTGCGCTCTTGCTTGTCTTTGTGACGAAGTCGCTTAGAGATGAGTGACCCGCCTTGGGCCACATAGGTTTCGACGTCTCCATCGTCACCTGAGTCATGGTCCGTCTGGACCTCTATTTCTTCCAGAGGCCAAGTGGTATCTGGAGGCGGCAAAGTTTGTTCTTGAGAAGCCATCTTTGAGGTACTTTCCCCACAGACGGCGCCAAATGTTTTGGGGTTTTTTGTGTCCCTCGAGAGAGTTACTGTTCTAGACTGGATTTAGCAAGGACGCCTGTACCTACAAAGCAAACGGAGCATCGAATGGTCGGTGGTCCGCCTTCGAAGATTAAGTTAGTACGGTATTCGGAATAAAATGTGCGGAAATTAAGTTATTTGCTCGGATTCCAAGCTTAGGTGCTGTCTGTTTCTTGAGAACGACATCTCAGTAATAATTGCAATAATTAACGTAACGTGTCCCCATAAATGAGGGGAATGTCCCTATTTATAGGGACCTTGGGAAGTGTGTCCTCCCTAGGGTTTGATGACATAGGGATTAGGGCACGCCGTTTTGCGGCGCCCTCAAAGTTTGGGCCTTGAAGGCCGCCTTTTCAGAAGGGATATCTGAGTGACACGTGTCACGCATCTGCCTCCTAGGGAGACACGTGTTGCTCTCTCATTGGTCCACTTGGTAGGGTATAAAATACCCAAAACATAGTATATACCATCTACTATAATTTATATTATAAAATCCTCATATTAGTCCCCCACTAACCCACTCTATTTCCCAATTTCAGTAAGCTTAGCTAGTTCAAGGACGCAAGGCCATACAAAGACTATCACAAAATGATGTAACTTGGTGGGCTAGTTGTACGAAATTTCATGTGTACCTCTTCGTCCATCCAAATGTGGGCCGATGAAGTTTGAGGTAATTCCATCCCGATTTTCTCTCAAAAAGGTTGTAAATTTGAGCGATGTAAGTGGGAGAAATTTTATAGTGCAAGATCTATTCGACGATCGTAATTTATATGAAGGAATTCTCAGTGTCGGTCCTGTGATATGGGCCCTATGCAAAACATTGGATAAGGGGCCCTTATTAAAAAATACTCGTAGTTAAAAATATGGAGTATATTTCCATTATCTTTTTTAATTTGCATATAATTGATCCAACATTTTTGTTTTAATCAATCGATCAATAATTTTTCATTTGCATGTAATTGATCCAACATTAATATTATATTGTTAAATTAATTTACATATAGGTCATGTTTATTATCTATAAATTCTTCTCACTTATTCATTTTCAAATAAGATTTTTTTTAGGAAAATTTTGTCAGAAAAAACCTTTTAAAACACTCTTTTTGTTGGAAAAATCCTTTTAAATTTTATTGGAAATCTAAAACCTAATTCCAAATTTTTTTTGTTGAAGACAAGCAAAAACTCTAATTACCCTAAATATCCTCTAATTTTCCTTAATTAGCCTTTTAAGTCTCAATATTTAAAAATTATACTAATTAAAAAAAATAAAACACCCAAACCCCCATCACACCACCAACCAGCCACCCCCTCTGGCCCTCCCCTTAGCAGTCGCGGCGGCTAGAACCCCCCACCCCACGCCGGTGCCGATCGATGCCGCCTCTACCCCCCGCTGTCACCCTCCCCCCTTAACTACCACTCCTAATATGCCTCTCCTTTGGGCATGAACTCATCCCCGAAACCCCCTTTTCAAAAAATCCCCTAATTCTCAATCATTCCTCCCAAAAAAAAATCAGAATAAGATTCTTAAGAGAGGCGAAGAATTAAAGGCCAGATTATTGTTTGCATGATGGAAAAAAAATCTTGATTTAGGGTTAAATTCTTAAAGATGTGCTCCACCAATCGATTAGGTTAGGATCTGGATGTTGTTTAGAACTAAACTTCGTCTGTGGCCTTGGTGGCGTCTTGCGTCAGATTTAGGGGTTTTTGTGGCGGTGAATTTGAGGAGAGAGAGTTTGGTTTTGGGGAGTTGTATTGGGTGGGGCATCAGAGAGAGGATGGGAGTTGCCGGCGAGGATGGGGGAAGCTGTTGAGCGTCGCCGACAGGGTGCCGCCAAGGGTGGCTAGGTTGGGGGTAAGGGGCTTGCTAGATCAATTTTATGTTTTTCTAATTAATATAACTTTTTAATAATTAATTGAGAGTTAAAAGGAAAATTAGGAAAAATTAGAGGATAATTAGGGTAATTGGAGTTTTTGGTTGTCTTCAACAAAATAATTTTAGAATTAGGTTTTAGATTGCCAAAAAAATTTTAAAAGGCTTTTTCCAACAAAAAGAGTGCTTTAAAAGGTTTTTTCTGACAAATTTTCCTTTTTTTAGGTGATATTATCTTATGTTAGCAAAAGGCAAAATCCATGATAAAAGAGGATAAAAATACATAATCTAATAGCCAATTAACATTTTACAAGTTTCAAACATGGTTTCTTTACAAAGCAACCTTAACATAATATCACCATCAAAACATTGTACTACGTAAATAAAAATCCCCTAATCAGTACAATATGATAATAGAGGAGTGAAATATTATTTGAAACCTTGAATTACTTAGCTTCCGTTTTTGGTGTTTATCAATAACTCAAAATTATGGAGTTAGTGCCTTAGTGGGACATGTGAGTTGTGAGACTTGTGACTATATCAAACTTGTTGAGAAAATATGATGTGAAATAATGAAAGCAGCCGTTCAAGTTCTAATTCTTTTTCGTCAAAAAAAGTTCTAATTCTTATATTGTACTCACTAGTAGTAGTTTTGATGGGAGTGCAATTGTGTTTATTGGTTTTATTTTTGTATTGGAATTTGATATCAGCTTTAAATCTTCTTGGAAACTAATACAAAACATTGAGAGCAAACCAGTATAATACATGATAATATTCTTGGAAATTGTAAGAATTAAATGCTCTTTTTATTTTCCCTTAAACACTAGAGGATGGAGTAGGGGTGAAAGTTCGGTTTTCGGTTTGGTTTGTTGCCCAAACCGAAACCGAACCACTTTAATTCGGTTTCTGTATTTTTTAAAACCACACCGCACCACTTTACTTTAGAATCCGAACCAAACCAAACCATATTCATTTCGGTTTCATAATAAGAAACCGAACCAAACCGAATTTTTTGGGCCTAATTTATTTGGGCCAATAATCTGCAATTTTTTTGGCCTCATTCATCAACAAAGCAGTACTGTAGTAGCATAATATCATTAACAAGTTCTAAAACTTCTAATTCAACAAGTTTCAACTTTTAACAAAATCAAATCAAAACCAATCCATACACATAATTACACAATTTTTAACAACAAAGTAACAAAATCAAACCAACCAATTCATACAAACAAGTTTTCACAACATAATTGAACAAGTTTTTAACAAGAACAGCAGCAGAATTGCAAAAGAGAAATCATACCAAACCCCTACACAACGGCCCTTTCCTCAAATTTGGGTTTCAAAGTCTAATTAGACCATGAAAACACTAGATCTAGTGTTTTCATGGTCGAATTTGACATGAAAGCCCTTTAGTTGATGCCCTTGATGGAGTTCGAAAATCCTCGAAAGGTTAGTCGATGGTGATGCGAATGGAAGGTGGAGAAGTGAGAAGAGAAAAGGAGAGAGAGTGAAGGGGGAGAAGTGAGAACTAAGAACTGAGAACTTGAGAAGAGGAAAGGAGAGTGAGTGAGAAGACTGAGAAGATCAGAAGAGGAGAGAAGGGTGAAGCGTGGAGCCGCGGAGAAGAGAGAAGAGGAAATGAGAGAATTAGGATTTTTTTTTTCATTTATATACTTAGGGTAAATCTGTTGGGCTAGGGTTATTTTTTGGGTTTGGGCCTATATTTCGGTTTGGCTCGGTTTTTTTGGTTTTTCACTTTCTCAAACCGAAACCGAACCAAAAACCGATTTTTTTTTTTTCAAAACCGAAACCAAACCACCTTAAAAAAAACCAAACCATATTTGTTATTCGGTTTGGTTTTCGGTTCGGTTTGGTTTTAAACCGAATTTGTTTCACCCCTAGGATGGAGAGGTTTTTGGGCCCTTTCAATCGATGGGCCCTAGGCCATCGCACCCTCGGCCTACCCTCAGGGCCGGGCCTGGGAATTCTTTTTTTGATTCAATATGTTATGTACTTGTTAAATTCAAATATATTTTGTAATAGTCGTAAAACTATTTATTAGTGGATTGATTTTATTATTAAAGTAAAAGGAAAAATAGTGATTGATTTTATCACGTTGAATATCAGTTAACCCGTTGTACAAAATGCTCCGCAAGTTTTTTTTTTAGCATCTAAATGCATTCATACTTATCATTCTTGTATTGTTACTGGAAAATAATCAAAACATACATCACCATGATCATTATCCTAATAAATTTTCAATGTTGACATTTTCCTTGCATAGACTTTTAGTAATAAATTCATAGTGTTAAGAAATAAAAAAATTGTATGTTTTGTGCTTCTTTAGGTTAAATCGTTGAAATAAATATTTAAACAAGAAGAATTTAAAGAAAACAACTAAAGTAGATTTCTAAAATAGAGAAAAAATAAATTAATTACATTGGGTTCAAACTAGTTAATTTTAATTCATTTGTTGTATAAGAAAGATTATTTCATACACTCGGATCTACATAGGGTTTAAGGTAAACATTTTTTTTTTTTGGCTCAATTAGTAAATTTCTATATTAAAAAATGAGTAAAAATCTAATAAATAAATAAATAAAATAAAATGAACACAAATTTTGTTAATGTGCACTTACCTTTTTATCAGCATGGTTTGGGAGGGCGACATTCCAATGGAATATTAGCAAAAATAACGGAAGAACAGCAACAGCTAATAATTTAAGCTGTCATTGCGCCAATTTCTCAAAATCAGGATATTGGTTTGCTAAAAAGCAGGGGAAATTAAAAGTACCATTTTATAACATTTTTAATCATCAATTTAATTAAGCTTTTTGGTCTCACAGCCTACCTTTTTTCTTTTGATTTATTGGGATTTAGATCTGTAATTTAGCGCATTTTTCCACCTTCAAACTAGTCAGTCAAGTTCCCACTTTCTTCCCACTTCTTCTTTTCTCTTCTTGTTTACTATCAACATTTCCCAAAGTTGTTTGATCATCATCTTCTACATATTCAACTACATGTAAGTAAACCCACCTATTTTTTACTTATTTGTGCCGATTTTTTGATGAATTTTGGACCTTTTTTGAGTTCTGAGTACTGGGAATTGATTGAATTGCTGTAAATTGAACTGGGTTTTGCTTAAATATTTCTGGGTTCGTAGTTTTATGCAGATTTGAGCTTGTTTGTTTGAACATTTGTTGAGATGAGTAATGATGGGGTAAAAGTTGGTATTCAAATCAGGAAATTTGTGATCATAACAATAAAATTGTGTTATAGATCAGTTTGTAATCATCCATTTGTTGTGGGTTTATTGTTGTTCTTGTTATTTCTGTATAGATCATTCCCATTTTTGTTTTCTATATTGGTGTCTACCTCTCCTGTACTTGTTGGTACTGCTGTTTTACTTGGAACCCTTTTGAGTTTTGGTGAACCAAATGTTGTCCCTGAGTGTGACGAAGAAGAGAAACCGGCTCACGAAGTTGTGCAGTCGAAAACGGGTGGGTTTGAGAGCACTACAGTTGTTGAGGAAGATGAGTTTTTTGGTAAAGATAGTAGGTACACCGAATTGAGCAGAGAGTTTGTAAAGACAACTGATGAAGAACCTTTGCTAGATAATACTGATAGAATAGATAAATCGGATATAGATCGTGATGATGATGATGTTGCTTATAGTACAATATCTACTGATCATAATTCGAGGGAGGTCAGATTTGAGAAAGGATGGATTGATGAATCAAAGAGTGAGCAAGAGAATGCTGAGATTGAGCAGACTGCGAACTTGGGTGATCAAATGTTTAAGATGGGAATTGTAGTCGGTTTTAGTGATGGCGAAATCCTGGAAACCAGGTTTTCTTCAGTTGAGAAGGTACAGGGTGAGCACTTTGAGGATTATATTTCAGCAGAAGGATCAATTGATGCTCAGATGGGGGATTATTTAGTGTCTTCCTTGGAATCACAGAAACAATCGAATGAAGTTCTAGCTGATAGTATATTATCAGCTAAGGAAGTTCAACATGAGAATTTTGAAGATTATAAGTCTGCTGAAGGATCACTTGATGTTCAGGTAGGGGATCAATTAGAACCTTCACTGGCATCATGGAAACAGTTTGATGCTCTTGATGATCGGTTATCCACTGCTCAAGAAGTTGAAGAGAGGATATTTGAGGGTTATAATATAGCGGAAGGATCATCAGAGGCTCAAATGAGGGATTACTTAGAATCATCTATGAGATCATGGAGACAAATGGGTTCTGATCATGATGAACATGGTGAGTCTGATACCGGGTCTGATGGAGCTGAGAGTTCCTCTCCAGATGCTTCAATGGCGGACATTATCCCTATGCTTGATGAACTAGATCCACTTCTAAACGATGAAATATTACAGGCTATTAACCTATCCCGTCAAAGCTCTGCTGCAACGATGGAAGAGTCTGTGATTTCGCCAGATAGCAGCATTCATTCTGAAGATGAAAGTGATCATAAGGATCACGAAGCTGATGAAGGTAAAAGTGATAATGATGATGATGACAACGAAGAGGAAACTCAAGTTGGTATAGAAGATTCTGCGAAGTCTGCGATCACGTGGACAGAAGATGACCAGAAGAATCTTATGGATCTAGGGACATCTGAATTAGAAAGGAACCAGCGCCTGGAGAGCCTTATTGCTAGGAGAAGAGCAAGGAAGATAACAGGAGATAGGAATTTGATTGACTTGGATGGGATGGACCTACCTTTTCCAGTTGCACCTATTTCAACGAGAAGAAACAATCCTTTTGATCTACCTCAGGACAACTCTTATGCTCACTTGGGGCTACCACCAATTCCTGGCTCTGCACCATCTATTATGCTGTCTAGGAGAAATCCTTTTGATCTTCCTTATGACTCTAGTGAAGAAAAGCCTGATCTTTCTGAAGATACTTTCCAGCAGGAATTTACTGAAGTTACTCATAGGGAGGCATTATTTCGAAGAAATGAGACATTCAATATGGGATCCACTGGTTTTGATATAGGAAGACCTAGTCGATTTAGACCTTATTTTGTGCCAGAAAGGACAGATTCTGATATGATGAGCTATTCTTCTCTTTCAAGACAGGTAAGTGAGCTTAGCGAGTCCAAGGCAAGTTCTGTTTCTGAAACTGAGTCAACTTCTGCAGGAGCAGACCAGGAAGAAAAGAAGCTAATAGAAGATGACTCTGTTCAAGAAGTTGAACCCAGTTCTGAGATTGATTATGCTTCTGTCCTTGTTGAACATGGAAGTCAGTCTTCAGCAGATTTGGATTCATTGTCAGGTGAAGAACAAGAGAATAAAGATTTTGTTCCTCGTGAGCATGAAGTTGAGCTCGGTAGGGAAAGGTCTTCTCTTACTGTTGATTCTGATGTGATGGGATATCCTTCTCTTCAGAGACAACTAAGTGAACATAGTGAGTCCAAAGAAAGTACTGCTGCTGAAAAAGAATCAACTTCTGCAGGAGCAGATCTTGAAGAAAAGATAATGGAATACAACTCTGCTCAAGAAGTTGAAGCCCGTTTTAAGATTGATCATGCTTCTGCCCTTTCGGTGCATGGAAGCCAATCTTCTGAAGATTTGGATTCATTGTCAGATGATGAAATAGATCGGAAAGATTTTGTTCTCAGTGTGCTTGAAGTTGAGTTGGGTAGGGCTAAGTCTTCTTCTGCTGCAGCTTCCTACACCTCTGAAACTATTGAATCAGCTGATAATAGAATTGATTACAGGGAAATTAATCCTGCAGTAGATCCAATGCTGTCTCATAGCAAAGTTAGCCATAGTGACATCCAACCGATGACAGAATTAATCGAAGTAAATCACAATATCACCTCTAGCCCATTATCTGTATCAAAAGTTTTTAATGATAAGACAATGGAAGATGTTGACAGTGGTTTGGCAAACAAGGAGAAACGCCAAGTCAAGAATCTTTTTAATGTTCACATTCCAGAGAAGTGTTCACTGGAGCCCTCATCGTCAGGTGTAACACCTGGGTTGTCACTAGAGACATCAGAATACAGTCATGCAGATGAGGTGGATGATAATCATCCAAAGGAACCTATTTATGACTTCATCCCACTCAAGAAGAACCATTCCTTGTCCTCCTCTTCTTCTGATATGCAGAGAGAGACATCAGGGATTGATTTATACCATTTATCAAGTGATTTATTTGTGGTTGATGAAACGAATGTTCACAATCAAGATGTAGAGTTCATTTCCCAGCAAACTAAAAACGATGCAGATGGAGATGACTTGACAATGAACGATATTGGTGAACAAAGTGGAGTTTACAGCACTGACTTCTCAGAGTTTAATAAACTCCCTAGTAATTCACCAACATCTGTAGTGGCAGAAGATGAGGTTCATTTGGCGAAGGACAAAATATTAGATGGTGAAGTTGCTCCTCATGAAGTACAGAATTTTTTTGCACAGAAAGACGGTTCTGAAATTCATATTGAAAACAAACTAGATGATATGCCTTCTGCTGATAGACACAAGTTTGCAGAAGATTCTATTTTAGCTCAAGAGAAAAACGAAGTTACTACATTGGCAGGCAGTTATTCGCCTGTCCACTCCACATTGTCTTCTTCACAGGTCGAGTCAAAGGACGAAAATCAGGAGGAAGTGAATATAAACCAGCAGTTTCAGGTGTTCAATTCCAGTTTGAAGAGTCGTGAAAATGATGGGAATGAAACGCTGGAATTTTCACTGGATGAAAATCATTTCTTTCCACATAATTCTGACATCAGCGACCCCTGGGCTGATTCCGCAGATCAGGTAAATCATGTTGCTTGTTCGATCATATGCCTTCGAATTTCTAATGACATTATACAGAGGATTTTGTGATCTTATTGACTGAATTATTGATAATTCTATTTGAGCTTATTGTTCTAGTATGCTCATAACTAAGCGCAATTTAATTTAACCAACTAAGCACAGGTTGATGTATAAAATGATTCTACTTCCTTCCTTCTACCTATGTGGGACAAAAGTTCCCACAAGAACTTCACCATCGAAGGCTATGACATGAGATATGTGTATGCTTTGAATAGAGTCAAACATCTTCAATTTTTAGCAACTTCAAACATGGATTTGAAAACAATTAGTGGGACTTTCATTAAGCATTATTTTTTCCTGTTTCCATGGCCAGGTTGCTATAAATTCCCCATGACAATATCATTAATGTGGAAATATTCACTCTTATGCTGTGTATATGTTGAACTTATTTTTTTGGCTCACTGACATATGATTGTCTAATTGAATGAGTTGAACACTAAATGGCCTGGAGCCCTGGACTGCTGATTATATAATACTGATACTACTAGATATGTACACAGGAACAATCCGTCATTCTTAGAAAGCTTGAGGTTGATCAGGCAAACAAAGTTGATGAACCTGATAATGTTCTCATGGCTCAAGAGCCTCAACACGAGATATCTTCTGATCCAAGTCAAAGCAATGTATCTTCTTCCCAGCCTGAGGATTCTGAAACAACAGTTGCAGAATTATCATTTAAGAAGCATGTTCAAGATGTACCTGTCACTGGACTGGTAGAGGAAAATCACAAGGTCTTTGAAGGATTTGAAGAACCAATAGCTGATGAGCATATCACGTATGCAGAGAAAAATGATGTCAATGAGATGGATGAAGAGTTGCTGTCTGAGCTGGATGCAGTTGGTGACTTCAGAGTGTCAAATACTGTACCAATCTTGGAGAATAGTATGATAGATCTCAATGCTGCAATTGACTCTAATATACCTGTAGAAGCTTTTGGTAAAGTATATACAAGTACTGAAATGCCAATCAGCCATGAAACATTGCTTGGAGATAGCACTCATGTAGAAACCAATCCTTCCAGGATTAAGGAATCAAACTTAGATTCACAGACAGTAAATTTCAATACTGATTTGCTAAACCTAGAAGCTCATTCTTTTGAAAATGTCGATGCTGTATTTGCGAAAGCGAGTGAAGAAGCTCACAAATCTGTGGTTGCTGAGTCTGTCCAGGCTGAATTTATGAGAGAGGTGGAAGGTCTTTTTCCAGAAACTGATCTATTGTTAGGAGATACAGAACCACGGGGCAGTACCTCTGAAGTAGTAACAAACACTGCTGATGCTGCCTTCAATAGTAGGGAATCAGTTCCAGAAAGAATTGAATCCGACCTTGCTTTACTGGAGGGCCATGATCTGGATCCTCACTGGAATGAAACTGTTTCAGAAATGCCAATCGTGGATGCTAAGATTATCAAACAGTCTGCTGCAGATGTTGAGAGAGTTGAAGAAGAAATCATTGATAGATCTAATTCTGTTGAAGCTTTACCAAAAGTAAGTGAAACAGGAGTTGATTCTCCGGAATCCATGCCATTGCAAATACATAGAGACATTAAAGAGATAGATGTCTCATCTTTCATTGAGACAAGTACTGCACCAGATCTTGAGCCCATAGATCAAACAGAAAGTGTTGGTTCTATGGAATCCGAGTCATCATTAATAGATGGGGACATCAAAGAGATACAAGAACCATTAGTACTTGATGAAAGTGATTCACTTGTTCATGAGTTTAAGGATAAGGCACCAGAGATGCATGTTCTTGGAAAAACACATGAGCCATTGCTACTGGGGAAAGAAGATAAAGAGTTAAAAGAATCACTTCTTGTTGGAGTTAGTGTCGGATCTGCTCTCGACACTGAAGATCAAATGGAAAAGTTTGATACCACAAGATCTGAGTCATTGCGTATAGATGAAGAGATTAAAGAGACAGAGGAATTGCTGGCTCATGAAAAAAGTATCACTCCTGCATCTGAGTCTGACGATCAGAGAGATAAAGCTGGTTCATCTGAGCCATTGCAGCTGGATAGGGACATTATACCAGAATCTCCTGCTGTTGAAGCAAATATTCCATCTGCTCTTCAGCCAGAAGAGAGGGAAGTGGTTGGTTCCGAGGAATCCGAGGCATTGCAGTTGGATAGAGATATTCATGAGGTACAAGAATCTCCTGCTGTTGAAGCAAGTATTCCATCTGCTCTTAAACCTGAAGAGAGGGAAGTGGTTGAGGAATCCGAGCCACTGCAGTTGGATAGAGACATTCATGAGGTACAAGAATCACCTGCTGTTGAAGCAAGTATTCCATCTGCTCTTCTACCTGAAGAAAGGGAAGTGGTTGGTTCTGAGGAATCTGAGCCATTGCAGTTGGATAGAGACATTCAGGAGGTACAAGAATCTCCTGCTATTGAAGCAAGTATTCCATCTGCTCTCCAGCCTGAAGAAAGGGAAGTGGTTGGTTATGAGAATTATGAGCCATTGCAAAGCGACAATATTGTGGAAGAATTACGCGATTGGCATGTTGTTGAAGAAATAGCTCCTATAGAATCCAAGCCAATGCAAACAGAAACAGATATTAAAGACGTGCCAGAATCTCCTACTGCACAAGCCAGTGTTTCTGTTCCCGAGTCTTCTGATCAAATACTGACAGCTGATTCTGGGGAATCTGATAGAAACATTGGGGAGTTGCAAGAATTGCCTGCTGTTGATAAAAATGCGCTTGAAAATGAGTCAGGTCAACTAGAAAAGGTCAACTTTGTAAAATCTGAATCATTGCAAATGGATGGTGATTTTGAAGAGATTCAAGAGCCTCCTATTCTACACAACAATTATGCATCTTCTGTTCAGTTCAAAGATCAAATGGAAATCAATTCACCGATGGAAGTTGTAGAGATTCAGGCTTTGCAGGAACATCACCCAGTTTCTCAGCAGGAACCTGAATTTGATTTTTCAAATATGGATGATTCAAGAGGGCTCATTGTTGACTCATCAACCACTGACATTCAATCAATCAAAAATAAAGTCGGTGATCAAGGACATGACAAGAATGCTACTGAAAACTTTTCTTCGCAAGTTGAGGAGGAAAAATCCAGCTAGTCTCATAATTCAAGCTCCTCCAGCTCTAGTTCAAGTGTATCTGTTGAAGATTAATATTGTACGAGATACGTTGTTGGGTGAGTGTGGCTATCACCAACATTTTGGTTCCAAATATAATTTTGAATGCCTACAGCTTTCTAAGAGCTTGGTTGGCTGGTTATTAGTGTCTGTTTAAGTTAATTTGGGCTGCTTCGTTTTTGGTGAGTAGCAGGTTCGTTGTTATCCCCGCTTTGTTGTAGCCGGGTTTTTTGTGATATTTTTTTCGTTTGTGGAAAGATTGAGGTTTTCTTTGATGCTTGGAGTCATAGTTCCTTTACTGTAACTGAGGCATCAAACCTTATGTTGTGTTTTAAATGTTGTAAATTTTATACATTTATGTCACTAGTCTGTGACCATTGCGTTGTTCGGGATTTGGGAGGGGTATTTTCAGTATAGAGCTGAAAATTGTACTTTGGCTTTGTGTATAGAGAGTTTCTGTTGAGAGGCTAAATTTGTAAGCCTCCTGTTTTGTAATGTACATTGTTTCTTTTGAATGCGTACTAGTTTTGATGTGTACTATGAAAATTATTACTGACATCTGAAATTTTTATCTTTATCTTAGTTTAATTGTTTACCAGACTACTGACATACTGAAATTTGTTCCGGTTAGTAGCTTTTGTACCAAAAACCAAAATGATCCTTTTTTCAGTATAATTTTCCTTATTGAATAAGAAAGATTGGAGTTCACCAAATAGGTAATGAAACAAATTGCTCTTTTATATTCACTTTCGCTGATTTTAAGATTGGTACTTAAATCATACGGACGTAGAGGTTCAAAAAGGGACTACATGACGGAACTGTGAAATTGTATGGACTGGAGACCGGTCCAGATAAATTCTAGTCCACATCAGACTGGACCCTTTTTCATGGTAGTAGTTTGGGCTCAATTTATTGTCAAGTCAAAGTTAAACTGTTGTCAGTTAATTTTCGGGCTGCTGAGGCTCAATTTTAAGTCACTGAATAACAGTTCTAACCAGTTGTCGATTAATTTTGGATTTTGTTTGGGTTATGGGTTACTAGTACCACCCATAGTTTGGGTGCAAGTCGCGTTTGGGACATTGCCAGTTCATGTCAGTTTTTGAGTCTATAGCTCTACTTGCAAATGATGTTACAGCAAATAGAGACAGTTAAAAGTAAAGATTATATGGACTTGTGCATTTCATTAGAAACTGCAACGATTTCTGATCTGCTAACAACTCAAAAAAAAAAAAAAAAAATAAAATAAAAATGGATATTCATAAATAAAAATGATGAATGACAAGTATACAATTAGTTGATTCAATAGATCTTCACAGACTGTTGAATAGTGTGGTCATGCCAGTCGTAGAAAAACAAGTTTGTATTATGGTTCCATTGAAAGTGTCAAGCTTGACATCAGTGTACTTTCAAGACCAGTGAGAATTTATATAAACTGGTTGATTTCTTATTATCTGTGATATTTGAATTGGGATGTGGTTGGTTTATCAGATAAGAGAAAGAAAAGATGATTGATGATCATTGGTGACTGAAAACGGGGAAAATCACCTCTATTTATAAAGAAAAACGACCGAAAACAATCAAAAAAGAATCGGAATTTGAATCGGAATAAAACTCTTTGATCGTGTGGCGATAAATTTATCGCATCGCTCCAGATCCATCGCGGCGCGATAAATCATCATAGCGATATTTGTTTACAAAACAATTATATGTTCTTTTCGCGAGTTTTGTCTGTATCAAGTATAGTATAGCCGCCTATACCTTAAAATTTTCTTTTTTCAGATGGTGTATCAGATATACCTCAACAATTGGTTATGTATAGGGATGCCTGTAGTTGCTTCAAGTGCAACAGATTTCTAATGTACTGAAAAAATATCTGCAAGTGTTTAGCTGTTTGCTCTCCATATTTTGTAAGCGTGCTGTATGAATAAGTTTGACTACAGAAACAATGAAACCTTAAGAGATATTATGCAAAGTTGAATATTAAAATGTACATTAGCGAACCAGCGTTCAATACATATTTCACCCATAACCCTTATTGAGAGCCTAATGTAACAAGCTGACAATTTCCCCGATATCCATCCTATGCAGATGCTGATGCATGTGTCTTGCTGCAAGCTGGTGTCATTACGTGTTGTTTAATCTATTTTAGACATTCTTAATGCTTGTTGCGCATATGGGTAAGGCTGGCCTGAATTAAGCCTCGGGATTTAGTTCATAGACGGACAATCTGCGCTCGTCTTGTGACATTAAGCTCAACAAGCTAAGAGACGCACACAATGCGTGCGTGTGTAACATAAGTAATCTATCAAGCTCCGTTCTTTGTTTTTTTTCCCCACAATATTATCTCTCTAAATATTTTAGTAAAAAATTAGTAGGTTTAATAATTAAAACATAAAATAAAAATTATGTTGATGATGTCATGTAGGATAAATAATAAAATTTGGCTTCTCTAAAAAAAATTTAAAAAAGAAAAGATGGAAGTTATAATTTTTTTTTTGAACTAAAATGGTAGTTTTTTTAGATGGTAGTTATATTTTTTTTTTAAAAAAGGAAAAATAAAAGATAAGAGGGGTATTTTGGAAAAAGTAAAATTTATAACACAAAATCCCCCTTTCACTTTATATATTACAAGCTAAAAGTCACACGCTACGCGTGGAGTGTATAAGAAACTGATTATTTTCATTTACTCATAATTTTATAATTCTGTCTCTTTAAATTATAGTGCCTATGTACAAAGAGATTAATAATTTTTTGATGATTAAAATCATTAATAAAAAGTCATATAACAATTATAAAAGAAATTCGAATTTAATGAGTACATGATTGACATGCTCAAGTCGTATTCACCTAATAAAAAATAAAACCTAAATCCACTAACTATGTAGATAGGGAAGAAGGGCCTAACCACAGGGAAACAGGTCAATTTAATCCTAATTAATTAGAAGCAATCTAAATTATCAAGTAACTAAATTTGTTGTAAAAGGGTAATGAAACTACTAAAGGTAAGAGTAGAAAGGGAGTAAAATAAGATGTAAATCAATGAAGGAAGAACCTAGGGCATAGGTTCACTAATAAACAATATTCCAGGGTAAATCATAATAAGCAATCATCAAAGCATCAATTAATCAGATTATAAAGGGCTTTCACTACGCATTACAGTCACAGAGTTAATTTACCGGTATTAAATCTCATCTCTCGAATCTCGACTTAAACATTTATAAATTAGTCCGCCTATTGAAACTAAGCCTAAACATCAATTCTCATCTCTCGAATCTCGAATCAATATTGCTAAACTCATACAATTAAATCTGGCCAAACCTAATTGTATAGCATTAAATCAATCAATAGGAAAATAATCAAGCATTGATAATCAACAATCACAAATTACCCCTTCATATTATTTATTAGATCCCCATAAACCCTAGAAAAAAAACTACTCAAGCATGATTAAATCTAAACTAATCAAAACAATAAAATAAGACATGATGAAAGTGAAGGAGTTATGTCTTCGTCGTGTGCAATTACTAGATATATAATTGGATCAAATTATGGAGATAATTAAGTTCGTACATTTGGGTCGTCGTTTTGCCATAGCTAGAGGTACTAACGATCTTTGGACTAGTAAAATAGCCCAAAGCCCAATTGGACGGATCCTATAAGGTCACACAAAGGGGCTAGATCGAGCATTAGAGGACGAGGCCCATCACGGGCCTCATCACTCTAGGTGGCCGGCCATATGGAGTGGACAAGGGAGTTTTGGGCTTCATGCCCTAGTCTAATTATAATGAGATTATAAATAGACTAGGTGCCTAGGTTTGCAGTAAGTAAGCAATTAACTGATCAGTGTGATCAAACCCTAATTAGCAAACACGAAACCCAACCCCTCTCAAAGTCCTCTCTCTCACACGACTCTCTCCTCCCAAGCGCCGGTGGTGTGTCGTGGTGGTGGTGGTTCGTGCGGTGGTCGGTTGTCCGTAAAGGAGGTGATCGCGGTTCTCCTCAATCACTCGACCAATCTAGTATTGTTGGACGGCTCGTTCGAATCTCGTGGACTAAGTAGACGAGCAACGCTTGGGGCTCTATTCTCTCCCTGATTTGCATGTCGAATAGCTTCGTGGAATTCACGCGTCAAAGGTATGATTATGTGTCTTGTGTGTTATGCATGTGATTCTTGGGGTTGGTACTTGATTGAATATGATTCATATTTTTCCGCTGCGTAGTACCTATAAACTCCTACAGTGGTATCAATTAGCCTCTTGCATGAACGCGCTAGATCATAATAATACGATTATTTGATGTCCACGTTAATTTTATAATCAATTAAGAGGGAGAAATTAGTTTAATTATGGTTCAATTATTATATTTAATGTGATTAAACTTTTGGAATCGATTAAATGTGATTTAATTATGCTCAAAATAGCCATGAAGAGACCGAAATTTAGCCCTAAATTGTTCGAAAATTTTCGAACACCCTAACCCTAAAATTTGAATTTTTCGAAATTTATAGCTCTAAAATATGATTTTTGTGCTTGATTTTGATTTAATTCAATTTATTTTATGATTCATAATTTTAATCGGATGGATTTATGCATAAAAGTGTTTTATGTATGATGATCAATTTAATTTTAAAAGTTAGAATTAAATTGGGATTAATTTTATGAAGAACCCTAATTTTAAGATTGAATGTTGATTTAAATTTAAATTTTTGGACTGATTTAATTAAATTATGATAAGTGTTATTTTGATTAAATTAAAACACAAAAAAAAAAAAAATTAAATTATCTTATTTTAAATTTATTTCATGATAATTGTGAATTATTTTGGGATAAAATCAGTTTTATTTTGGATAAGATAGAATATTTTGAAAATATGATCTTTTATTTTAAAAGATAAAATTGGTTTCATTTGGATGAAATATTTTATTTTAGGATAAAATCAAATATTCAAAAGTTGTTATATTTGATATTTTTCATATTTAAAGTTGTTAAATCGGTAATTATCCTAATTAAAGTGGTTAATTTTTGATAAGATTGAATAGGATATTCTGAGCATATTCCAAAAGGATAATAATTGATTTAAATAATGTGATTATCTCATAATTGATTTTAAAATTATTTGATTGGCTAGTAATTAGGATAGAATCTCCTAAATTTGTTAGGATTATCATGAAAGATTAAATATGATTTATCTTTCTAGATTAAAATATGATTTGATTCTATCTCATGACTAAATTAAATATATGATATTTAATAAACGATCATGAATAATATATGATATTATCTAATTATGATTAAAATATAAGATATTTTAGGAAATGTGTTGACTTTATTATGAACATTAGATGTTGTAATTTAGACAAGCATGTTGAATGATTTATTATATGGCACTTTTATAATATATGATATTATGTTGCTATATATAGACTAGTATGACCCATAGATTCTTAAATGCGATATGCGCATCGTGAAGTATTTTTGTAATCTAAATACGGTATGTGTACCGTTAAGTATTTTTATAACTTTTATTTAAAGTAAATAGAATAGTTATTTAAATAGTGTTAGTCCAAAGAAG